AGCTTCTTTAGGGCACTATTCTGCCTGTTCACCAACATCTTTTCTGTTGAACACTTGTGCCCTCTAGTGATAAATTCAATTATACAACAGGATTGGCTTGGAAAACAGCTCCAGAGAAAACAGGGAAAACAGTAAGAAAGCAATAGATAAAACTCAATGTAAAGAAAATGGAATGCAGGCCAAAGATGCAGGTTAAAAAAAAGATGGAAATAATCCAAATGGTCATTCCTTCTGTGATGTACCTATGCTTGTTCCCTCCAGGGCAAACATTCTATGTGATTACTGCTATAGTAAAGAAAACAGCAAACACACTCCTGAACATAAAAGCATTTTCAGATAGAATTAAAATAATCCTATTCCTCAAATTAAGATGCAGATTAAGTTTCTTTTTCATTTAGAAAAACAAAAGATCTATTAAGATTCTCAGAGACTATCTGTCCTATACCTAATGTGGATAAATAAAAAAGAATTATTTTCAAACACAACTGTCAAGGAGGTGCTAAGATGTCAATTTTATATATTCATTGTTAGTTTCACTGGTTCATTAATTTGCCAATAGGGATGGTTTGGAATAAAACCATGCACTATGTTGGGCTTAAGCAGGGTCCCCAGCCTTCTAAGCATGTTCCTTGCTGTCCTCAGCAGAGCAATGCATGACTAGTCTATCACTCTCTTTTTAAAAATTTTAAGTTGACACATTATAGTAGTAAATATTTATGTGGTACAAAGTGATATTTCAATACATATATGCAATATGTAATGATCAAATCAAGGTAATCAGCATATCTATCACCAAAAATAATTTCTCTATGTTGGGAACATTCAAAATCTTCTCTTCTAGCTGTATGAAAATATACAATAAATCATTAACTATATTCACCCTTCAGGGCTACAGAACACTAGAACTTATCCCTCCTACCTGTAATTTTGTATCTGTTAACCAAACTCTCACTATCCCCCTTTTCCAGACTCCAGTAACCACAATTCTACTCTCTACTTCTATGAGCTCAACTTTTTAATATCCTACATACTAGTGAGAATGTGTGGTATTTATTTTTCGTGACTAACTTATTTCACCTAACATAATGGCTTCCAGGAACATTCATATTGCTGTAAATGACATAATTTCATTCTTTTTAATGCTAAATAGTATTCCACCATGTACATATTCCCACATTTAATTTATCTATTCATCTGTTAATGGACACTTAGGTTGATTCCATATCCTGGATATTGTGAACAGTGCTGCAATAAACATAGGGGTGCATATATCTCTTTGAAAGACAGAGAGAGAGAGAGAGAGAGAGAAAGAGAGAGAGAGCGCGCACTGAAAAGCCTAACCGCTAGACCACCAGGGAGCATCATCTCTTTGATATACTGTTTTCCTTTCCTCTGGATACATACCCAGTAGTGGAACTGCTGAATCATATGGTAGTTCTGTTTTTAGTTTTTGAGGAGCCGCCATACTGTTTTCCACAATGGCTACACTTATTTATATTCCCACCAACAGTGTATTAAGAGTTTCTGTTTCCCTACTTCCTCATCAGCTTTTGTTATTTTTTGTCTTTTTGATAATAGCCATTCTAACAGATGAGATGATCTATTTCATTGTGGTTTTGATTCGCATTTCCCTGATCAAATATTCTCTTGATAACAAACATTATGGCCATTCCTAGCCATAAATCTTATCTGTATATAAATGTTGGTTACATTTTTCTTGGTATATAAAAAAGGAAATGAACTTCAATGACATCAATAGAGATTTAGTTTAAATAATAGAAAGGTCTTCTAAACCACACTGTTGTTACTGTTATATAAGTGAGGTATCAATCTTCTTTTGAAATCTTTAAGAAGAGCGGGGAAAACTCATAGGTATTTTGAATCATTTAGCTCTAACCCTGACTGGAGGCATAAAATAAAACAATTGAAGTTTCCTTTCTACCATTAAAATTAAATATTATTGGCTGGGCACTGTGGTTCACGCCTATAATCCCAACATTTTGGGAGGCTAAGGCAAGAGGATTGTTTGAGCCCAGTAGTTCGAGACCAGCCTGGGCAACATGGTGAAACCCCATCTCTAGAAAAACTCCAAAAATTAGCTGGGCATGGTGGCTTGTGTCTGCAGTCCCAGCTACTTGGGATGATGAGGTAGGAGGATCACTTGAGCTTAGGAGGTTGATGCCGCAGTGAACAATGACTGCACCACTGCACTCCAGGCTGGGCAACAGAGCAAGATCCTGTCTCAAAAAAAAAAAGTTACATATTATTGCTGGATGATTTCTATCTTTTCCATTCAATTCCCTGTCCTGAGAGGCAAACACTATTCTTATTTCTATCACCATGAATTAGTATTGCTGATTCTTGAGCGTTAATGATGAAGCGTTTTAAGGTGATGGAAAAGTTCTGTATCTTGATTTGGGTGGTAGTTTTGCTGGTACATACAAGTGTCAAAACTCAGCAAACAGTATATTTAAAATCTGTGCATTAATTGTAAATTATATTTCAGTTAAACAAGATATTAGAATCTTGGGAAGAGACAACTTTATAAATAATAGATACTATCACCCTTAAGAAGTGGGCTAGGGAAGAGAAGGAAGCCAACATGACCTCAATAGCAGATATAGTTTTATTGATCTAAAAACCAAGAAAGGAAAGAACTGTCCTGGCTTCTCAACTATTTCCATGCTGATTAGCTAACAGTACCATTTCAATAGAATGCCCCCTGCTTTGACTGGCTCATTTGTTGTTGCAGAGCTGAGTCAACTTTACTGCCTGATGGATGAAAATGGAAACAGGGTAGAAAGATGGTCATAAGATACTACTAGATTGTCTTGAAGTAGAAGTGCAGCAACTTACGTTGGTCCATGACCAGGCATGTTACTCTGTAGGCCCATATGGATAATGGCATCATGCTTGCTAGCATTAGGAAAAGAGTGCTCAATGGAGAAAAACAGCTAAGAATTTCACTGAAATTAATGAAACAAGCAAATATAAGATTTTTTTTTTTTTTTTTTTTTTTGAGATGGAGTTTCGCTCTTGTTACCCAGGCTGGAGTGCAATGGAGCAATCTCAGCTCACTGCAACGTCCGCCTCCTGGGTTCAGACAATTCTCCTGCCTCAGCCTCCTGAGTAGCTGGGATTACAGGCACACGCCACCGTGCCCAGCTACATTTTTTTTGTATTTTTAGTAGAGACGGGGTTTCACCATGTTGTCCAGGATGGCCTCGATATCTTGACCTCCTGATCCAGCCGCCTCAGCCTCCCAAAGTGCGGGGATTACAGGCTTGAGCCACTGCACCCGGCCAAATATAAGACTTTTACAAAAAGGATGCCTCACCCTATGCTGATTCATTATCAGCCTTTCTTTCTGCACTGTTGGCGAGGCTGGAGATTGGCACCTGGAATATACTTCTTATAGCAACCCCAGCTTACCTGCATAAATTCAAAGTTACCAGTCCAGAGATAATGAGCTGTTTATTATTTTTGATTCACAGTGTTGTTTTCTTGATACATGGTAAACACTAATAGATGCCTTGTGTAATTGGATGAGTATTTTTTTGTCTGACAATGTCTTTCACATGAAACTGCAACAGTCTCTGCTTTTCTTCATAATTTTAAGTCAACAGTCCTAAATTAAAATTCTCTAGGAAGCACTGCATCAAGATCATCTTAATTTTCCTTACTTGGTACCCTCTAGGCAAGATTTTCTAGTGCCAAGAAGTTTAGAAAAGTAGACAATAGAATTTTCATTGGCAAAATTGTCACTCTTATGACAACAAATCCTTCCTTTCTGTAATTCCCTGGATTTAAGTGTCCTATATAATTCTGTACAGATAATGTTCCATTTCAGTGCTCTATAATCTGTAACTCAGATCCTCTGAGTTATATTTCCTGAGTTATATATTCTCTGAGTTATAATTCCCCAAAGGAACATTCTTATATTCACTCTTCTTATCTCCAAAAGCCTTTCCAAGCCCCTTGAAGAAACTAAGAGTTGCTGTAATTTATACACATACACACATGCACACACTCTTGCTCCAAGGAATGTATATACTATTTCCACACCACACGGCTTGTCTTTACGAAGTAGCCCCAGTTTCAACCAAGGCCAGCCAATTCTTACCTACGTCACCATTAGTCATTAAAGACACTGCTTTTTGGAAGCCTGCTATTGTCTGTTTTGTATCTAGACTAAAATATAGGCAAGTCAATGACATTATAATATTTATATCTTCTCTGCTAAAAATTAGTTGCCAATTTTCAATACAGGTTATTAAACATACTCTGAGAACATACTTATAATAAGTTGTAGGATACAAAAAGGTCATCTTTTTACATAATTTCAATAGAAAAACACATGTATTTCAATTAGTTTAGTCAAAACCAAATTCCTTCCTTCTTGGAAAACAGTACTGAAAAGAAGACCACCACCAATCGTGTCTGAGTGGCTTATAGGAGCCTGGAGTATCTTCAGAAAAGCTGAACTTAGGCCTTTCACTGCAGGGAAGAGTTGGACGTCAGGCCTTAAAGGGTCAGAGTTATATAAGATGCCAGATGTTTAATCTTATTTCAAAGTCAAATATAAATGACTTTGGGATTGTCTAATGTTTTACATTCTCCACATTTATGTTCTTCTCTCTTGGTGTAGATCCAAAAAGGAACTGGTATCACTCTTCACTTTTCATTCAAATATTTCAAAGTACTTCATATAATACAATAACATACTCACAAGAGAGAAAATGATGGATCCCATAACAGTGTGAAAAATTGGCAGACATCATAGAAAAATGTAGGAAACTGGTTCAAGGACATGGACATTGTTACACCACATGATAAAACAGTAGTGCAGACTAACACCTGCCGCATCTTTTAGAGGAATATCTATCTCCAATCTCCCTCTCAGCTAAAATCTTCATAAGTCTTGCCCTTTCTTCTTTAAAATTACTTACGAGAGCAAGACTGTGCTCTCAAGAGACATGCCTCACTGGGTTGTCACTTACCCATGCTTCTTTGACCTCTTCAGAGACATCAGTTTCATCCTCCTGTAAAAGGAAAAGGTAGAAAATCAAAAGGCTCATCGTCACAGACATCCTTGAAAGCAGCAAGGTCAGATCCCATCAATTATGTGTCTTGGCATTTCAAACATGGGCAATGAGAATTGACTGTCAAGTGATGCACTGTTACTGCTACTTTTCACAGCCAACACAGGTAGGCAACTTAGAAATGTCACCTGTAGTCTAAAAAGTCAAATTGACTACAGCTGGAAAAGGGATATCTTTAAGACAGATAGACTTCATTATTATCTTTGTCAAGATTTATCAGTTTATTTTGCCTTATAACAATGAAGTACTTTTTTCTAAGAAATAATTTCTTTTTTTTTAAAGATGGGGTTTCACCATGATGGCCAGGCTGGTCTTGAACTCCTGACCTCAGGTGATCCACCCACCTCGGCCTCCCAAAGTGCTAGGATTACAGGCGTGAGCCACTGCACCTAACCTCTAAAAAATAATTTCTAATAGATGACTATTACTGTCTCGTTTCTTGTCTCACTGAATAAGTATGTCCAATTTTCAAATGAGTTACTGGTAAGCAGGGTCCTCTTTTCCAAGTTATTGGTCACTTGTTCTTTAAAATGCCAATAACAAGGTTGAATGAGAAGGGTACAGAACAAGATATGGAAGAGGATGAACTACTGAATGTTAGTGGTGTCCAGCTTGGAAATAATATTTTAAAAATTAAAAAAATAAACTACTAAATGTGTATTTGTAGTTAGTAAGCATTGGTATATCTGTCTTTATTTTAAAGCCAGAGTTAATCTATTTTATGTTATTTGTTCCTTTCCTTGAGATTCTTGTAGCACTCCTACAATATTTAGTTAGAATCTCTGCCCATATGTGGCACTAAGATACTGTTGACTTTACTACATGACATTCAGGGAATATTAGGAAGGACTACTAAAACTTGACAAGCTTATTCACTTGTTATATTGGTTTATATGGCTGTTGTATATTTCCAGTTTTTAAATTATTTGCCAATTTACTGAGTGCCCACCATGTGCTTACATGTGCTTCTCACTGTATTAGATACTGGGAATCTAGCAGGAACATACAAATGAGTCCCACACTAGTTAGGTCTTTCTTCTCTTTTCCTCAGTAATACTTCTCGAGAATGTGCAAAATTCATGGCACCATGCAGGACTCTTTATTTTAAACTCAACTGAAAGGATGGTGGCCAAGAGTAGTATGATATGCCTCAGCACAGACCAATCCACTTACATCATTTGTCCAGAAATTGATGCCTGTGCCTCTTCGCCGTTCCTTGGGCCGCCTCCTCTCTCGAATGGACAGCCTCTTAGAGGACTGCTCATCCAAATCTGCTTCTTCATTCTCTGGCCAGAGATAAAATAAAGTATGGACTTTAAGAATATGGGGGATGTGCACTGTGGAGGGGCCTGTGTCTTTTGAAGCTCCACATACCATTTTTGTCCATTTCCTTTGCAGTTGTAGTGTTTGTGGTAGTCTTTGAACTCTCAGAATCCGGGTCTGAGAATCTACTTGTCCGTAGCAGGTGGGAACTGGAACTGGTGTAGAGTGAGGGTCTTGATGTAGAAGGAGACGATGGCGTGGTGGGTTTATCTGTCTGAGTTGGACACCTCAGGCGACGACAGATAGGCTAGAAATAATCCACACATGAGATATCAGAAGTCAAGTCCATCTAAAGGATAAGAACAGCAGGTTTATACAAAATGTTTTTGTGGGTCAAGATGGCCAGGGAGAGACCTATGTTGATTCCAGCTAAATAACTGTAAGCTTGCTTGACTCAGAATACACTGAAGTTTATACACTGAACTAAACTACATTATTGGGGCAGTTAATTAGAAATCAAGCGGCAACAGAGGCCTAAGGTAAAGACCATCCAAGAGCGCAGTAATACCGGGGAACACCTTGGGGTGGTTGCAGAGCAGGGAATACTGCTCTGGTCCCACAAATGCCTTCTCAACATGGACACTGTATAAGGGCCTCATAAAGAGGGCTTATGCAAAGATCTCTGAGAAGGGAGGCGACCTGTGCTCACAAGATCGGGGAGAGTCTTTGCAGATGGGAGCTGGCAAGGAGGAGAAAAGCCTTGCAGGGCAGAGATCATGGAACACCTCAGACTCTGCCTAGGTTCTCTTAATATGGAGTGATGTTAATTGCTCTATGTCCTCAGTGCTCAGGAGATAAAAGCCTTGTTGCACTGGGTGTGGCTCCTAATCTGCTATACTGCTGATGCAGCCGCACCCTGATAACAATCTGTGACAAACTCAGAGTACTAGTTTAGCACATTTGTCCCCCGGACCCATGCTGTAAATTCTACTCTTGTGTCTCTGTCTTTATTTCCTTTTCTCAATCCCTCATCACTGCCAGGACTAAGGGCACCCACTTATGGGGTTGGGCTGGTTCTCAACATTTTTTTTTTCATATTGAGAGGCTTATGAGTAGATGATGATCAATACTGAGTACCTGGTAATAGGCACTCAATAAATGAACTAGACAGCAAAAAACCAGCTGCTGGACTCCTACTCTGAGAATCCTATCATGTTGGGAGTAGTCCAAGTAAATTATTCATAAATTGACCAAAGGGTACTAGATAGCATTAACCGTGTAAATAAAAATTCCTTTGATCTTGGAATGAAAATAAGAATGATGGCCTTTTTTAAGATAGAGTGCTGAAAGGCAAGGTTTATGTAGGGTAATAAAAAGCTCAGAAGCATGAAGCAGCAAAATGTAGAAATTGTCTGAGAACAGAGAACAAATGTGAGTATCCTACCAAGTTCTGAACACTCTACCAGCTTGCCATAACTAGGCTTTCTAAAGTTTCCATTTTCATTTTTGTAGTGTTTTTGTTTTTGTTTCTTTCCTGAGAGTTAGGACAGATAGAGCCTAACAATAAGCCTTAACTTGGTTTATGGAAGACTCAGAGATAGATAAATTCTTACTATACATTAAATTTATGGCATAGCGATTGTACAAACTTTTGTGATTTATAAAGACAGATACAATAAAATGTAGTAAATTTGGAGTCCGACAATCTTTGTTCAAATTCTAGCTTCAGCATTTACTAGCTGTGTGACCTTGAATAAGATACTTAGCTTTTCTGAGCCCTAACATCCTCATCTATAAAAAGATATAACAACTTCTTCAGAGAGGATTATGAGGATTAAATAAGAAAATGTGCATTAGGTGCTTAGAAGAATACCTGGTAATAGGTGCTCAATAAATAGTAGCTTATAAAACAAACAAATACAAAATAGAACTTCAGTTTATGGAATCTATCCATTCAGAGTCACAAAGCAAGAAGGAGATTCCTTTCTTCTATAACCACAGTGACCATAACATTAATCAGTTCAAACTGGGACACTTTTGAGAGTGCAAAAGAGTGGTAATGATAATTACACAAAGACAACAATTATACTTGGAACCACCTTAAGTAAACCAGGAGTTATGTTCACCCTAAATATAATCTTAAACCTCTGACTACCAACTCCACTAGAGCAATGAAACATAAATCAAAATGACCCTCCCAACAGTGACACCCACGAGTGCTTTGTAAGCCCTTAGGTTTGCAAGAGTTTGAAAAACAATACACTAGTGGTTAAAAGAGCAAGTCAGACTGCCTATGTTCAAACTCTGGCTTAACCACGTCTTACTGTGTGAAATGTTGGGCTTAAATGTCCTTAACCTCTGTGATTCAGTTTCCTCACATATAAAATAGAAATAGTAATATTTACCTCAGAGGGTTGTTATGAGAATTAAATGAATTAATACATATGAAGAACTTAAAATAGTGCCTGGCATAAAGCAAGCATGTACTGAGTAAAGTAAACACTCAATGCATGCTTACATTTTTATTTGCATTTTGTTATACTATGACCTCCCTTTTTAGAAGAGGACATTTATTCAAAAGCGTCACGGAACTCTCAGAAGAAAAAAATGATCATTTAAGGACTGACATCCTCCAAAGTTTTGTCACACAGGTTTGCCAACTAAAGACAGGCATACAGAGTGAGTTGTCCACTGCAAGGCAGAACATAGCCTTTGAACTATCAGTGAAGAAGATACTCCCCAAACTAATTACCCTGCTTTTATCACAGTACATGCCAGCAAAAATGAGCTCACCTCTTCATCCAGACTCCTGCCCCAGGGCTGCTGGCCCTCCCCAGCTTCCGTTGCTGGGACTGCTGAGGGCTCATGCTTCTCAGGGCTCCCCTCAAGCCCCCCTTCAGTGTCTGTGGGCTTCTCACAAGGCTGCTCCTGAGCTTGCCTCTCTGCCCTCGACCGGCTGAAAGTCCTTTCTGCTTCTTGAAGATCTGTTAGGGTGACACCCTGGGAAAATATCACAAGATCAGGGCTGTTTCATACTAACCATGGAATAACTCTTGATGATTGAGCAGGAGTATTCCCCAAAAGATCAAATAGTTACAAATCCCAAAATGAAGCCCCCAAATGGATAATGAGGCCATTTCAAGCAATGTATGCTTAAAATAAGCACCTCAGTGCACAAAGAACCCAGGCCTGAGTCTAGGTACATTTTGAATGTAATACTTTGGTTTTTCTGGTTTGATCTCCAGAAAATAGGTCAACATTGATGTCTGCCTGTTATAGATATACTTTTTCCATACCAAATAGTTCCAAGTATCTTTACTGAAAGGTCCCTACCCTCCCAAGATCAAATGGTTACCAACAGAGATTCTCTAAACAGCAGATACTGGAAAAAAAAATTTACTTAAAAAAAGAAAAACCTGGTTCAACAAGATGAAAATTTAGAGCTAGACTAGAATAACAACAACAAAACCTCTTAAAACCCTTACACTAGCTTTTTTTTCCTTTTTTTTTTATACACCCATTTCCTGACAAGACTAGCTTTTCTCTAACATCAATTCCCACGTAACTCTAGGAATCATATAGGGATATTCCAACAATTAATGTTCCCCCGACCAGGGTCATAGGAGCAGCAAGACCGAAGAAAGGCAAATGAAGATACAACTACAGGAGAAGGGAGAAAAGGAGTTTAGAAAGAGTGTGAGCTGATTCCAACTCAAGTAGTTATATGCATGAGTCCTCAGAAGAAGGAAGTTCCAAAGCTGGAAGGTAGCTGATCAGGTACTGTATCCACGACTTGCTTCCCCTCCCACCCCATGCTTTTTTATTATTCATTCATTCACTTAATCATTCTGTTAATAAAGAATTAAGTATCCTTAGGCACTAGAACTACAAAGACAAATCAAATGATTACTGTCAAGAACCTTTTAGGGTACCAGAAAAGACATAAGAAAACAGACAAGTACAATGAAAGTATGTAAGTATTAAAACAGAAAGAGGAGTATGTAAGAGGAAAACCTAACACTGAGTTTTAAAGAGTAAAAAGAACTTGTGTAGCGGGAGGGAGAAAAGGAATTATAGGTAGAAGCGTATACAAAGATTGAGAAACAAGAGAGGCCATGGATGACTTAGGAATCTGTAGGTAACTTAGCAAAGATGAAGCCCGCAACAAAGGGAAAGTTGGAGGAAAGAGGGAGAATGAGGATAGCTGATTTTAGGAAAGCAGGCAGAGGCTAGGCCATGGCACATTTTGTAAGCTATGCTAAGAAGCTTAGATTTTACTTTCTTTGGGAGTCAGTGGTCCCCTTGAGAATCTCATGAAGACTACTGAGAAGCTAATAAAATCTCCTCAAAAATTATGTACACATTTCAAGGAGTTCAAAGATCAATTCAAGTTTTGTCACTCCCTCTCTACTGAATCTTTCCCTCTAAAACGTTTCTCTGTCTCTCCCACCTTCAATTCTATGCCCCTCTCCAGCAACCTCCCTATCTTTTCCCGTTCCTTCATAAACAAACTTGAAATCATTCCAGAGCAATTTCTCTTTCCCTATGATTTCTCACTCATTTATTTATTCAATAAGTATACATTGATTTATTTACAGTATGCTGGTACAAAAGATGAGCAAAAGCATAGTCAGTCTTCCTTTTCACACCCATTAGGAAAGTTATTATCAAAAAAAACAGACTGGGCACAGTGGCTCACACCTGTTAATTCCAGCACTTTGGGAGGCTGAGATGGGCAGATCACTTGAGGTCAGGAGTTTGAGACCAGCCTGGCCAACATGGTGAAACTCCGTCTCTACTAAAAATACAAAAATAATTAACCAGGTGTGGTAATGGGCATCTATAATCCCAGCTACTTGGCAGGCTGAGGCAGGAGAATTGTTTGAAACCTGGAGGCAGAGGTTGCAGTGAGCCGAGATCATGCCGTTGTGCCTTGGAACTCCATCTCATAAAAACAAACAAACATTGGTGAGGATGTGGAGAAATTAGAACCCTTTTGCACTGCTGATGGGAAATAAAATGGTAGAGCCGCTATGGAAAACAGTATGGCAGTTCCTCAGAAAATTAAAAATTGAATTACCATATGATCTAGCAAATTCCATTTCTCAGTATATACCCAAAAGAATTAAAAGCAGGGTTTCAGGGAGATATTTGTATGGCCATTCTCATAGCAGCATAAAATATCCAAAAGGTAGAAGCAACCCAATGTCCACTGACAGATGAATGGATGCACAAAATACAGTATCCATAAAAGACTAAAATATTCAGTCTTTAAAAGGGAGGAACTTGACACATGCTACAATATGGATGAACCTTAATAACTGTGCTAAGTAAAATACTACACAAAAGAACAAATACTTTATGATTCTACTTATTTGAGGTTCCTCGCCTAGTCAAGTTCATAGAAAGTAGAAGGGGAGATGCCAGAGGGAAATGAGGAGTAATTATTTAATAGATACAGAGTTTCAGTTTGGAAACAGGAAGAAAAGTTCTAGAGATGAATGGTGGAGATAATTATACAACAATATGAATGTACTTCATGCCATTAAACTGTAAACTTAAAAATGGTAAAACTGGTAAGTTTTATGTTATGTATTTTTCACCACAATAAAACAAAACTAAAAAACATAGTCCGTCTTGGTCCTCATGGGGGTTACATTCTAATGGAGGAAACAGACAAATAATCATCAAGTAAAAATAAAGGAAGAATACATGACCTACTTTGGGAGAGTCAAGGAAGACAACAAGGGTGTTTTTGCTGCCATATATGATGTCTCTTTTCCAGTGATCAGATTTCCTACTTGACCTCTGTAGTGAGCTCAAGACTGCCCTGGCCAACACAGTGAAACCTTATCTCTATTAAAAATACAAAAATTAGCTGGGCACGGTGGTGGGCTCCTGTAATCCCAGATACTCGGGAGGTTGAGGCAGGAGAATCACTTCAACCCAGGAGGTGGAGATTGTGGTGAGCTGAGATTGCACTGTTGCACTCCACCCAGGGCAACAAGAGCAAAACTGTCTCAAAAAACAAGGCTGGGCGCGGTGGCTCAAGCCTGTAATCCCAGCACTTTGGGAGGCCGAGATGGGTAGATCACGACGTCGAGAGATCGAGACCATCCTGGTCAACATGGTGAAACCCCGTCTCTACTAAAAATACAAAAAAAAAAAAAATTAGCTGAGCATGGTTGCGCATGCCTGTAATCCCAGATACTCGGGAGGCTGAGGCAGGAGAATTGCCTGAACCCAGGAGGTGGAGGTTACGGTGAGCCCAGATTGCACCGTTGCACTCCACCCAGGGTAACAAGAGCAAAACTCCGTCTCAAAAAACAAACAAACAAAACAAACAAACAAGAAACAACCACGGAACTTCTCCTTTCCACTGGAAATGGACTTTTTATTCACTTTCATGATGCTACTATTTTCTGATTTTCTTTTCATTCTGTTTCATGGGCTCATCTTTCTCTGCTTCTTTAAATAACAAATTCATAGACTTCTCTCCATTCTCATTACCATTACAACTTGATTTCATACCCTTGTAATCTGGGGACTACAATACAGCTTCCCAGCAACTCTTCTTGCTTCTAGGCTTGGCAAACACATCTCTACCTACCATTCCCATCAGTTTTCTGCATGGTGATTTTTCTAACACACACACCCACACACACAATGTAGACTATATCATATTCCGTTAAACTGCTTCAATGACTCCCTCAGGGATTCCTTTTTTAACATCTTTATTAAAATACAATCCATATATCATAAAACTCACCATTTGAAAGTATACAATTCCTTGGTTTTTAGTTTATTCACAGAGTTATAAAATTATCATCACCCCTAATTTCATAACATTTTCATTACCCCAAAAAGAAACCACACACTCATTATTCCCTCCCCATTCGTTCTTCACCCCAGCCCTGGCACTCATCTAATTTCTGTCTGTTTGAATTTGCCTATTTGGGACACTTCATATAAATGAAATCATAATATATGGAGTGTTTTATTTCTGGCTTCTTTCACTTAGCATAATGTTTTCTCAAGGTTCATCCATGTTGTAGCATGTAGCAGTACTTCATTCTTTTTAATGCCAAGTAATATTCCATTGTACAAATATATCACATTTTGTTTATCCATTCATTATTAGTCAATAGACATTTAGCTTGTTTTTACTTTTTAGCTATTATGAATAATGCTATTATAAACACCTATATACAAATTTTTATATGGACATATGTTTTCATTTCTCTTAAGTAGAACTGCTGAGTCAAATGGTAACTCTTTGTTTAAAATTTCGAGGAATTGCTAAACTCTTTTCCCTTAGGGATTCTTAAAATGTATTGGGGATATAGGGATGTATAGGGATTCTTAAGGTCTTTGGGCACAAGTGGAATAATTAATCTTGTGAAGGAAAAGAGAAATCTGTTCTAAGCCTGGAGGAATATTGGTGAGAATGGGTAGATGTAGCTGTAAATTCATTTGATTCTAAATAGTGTAAGATTCAACACAGTGAAAACTTTTAAGACTGTGGCTGGAATAGGGCAGTCATTTTCATGTGTGTATTTTGTTTTGTTTTTTCAAGATGGGGTCTCGCTCTGTTGTCCAGGAGGGAAGTGGCACAATCTTGGCTCACTGCAATCTCTACCTCACAGGTTCAAGCAATTCTCCGACCTCATCCTCCCAAGTGCCTGAAATTACAGGCACCTGCCACCATGCCTGGCTAATTTTCATATTTTTAGTAGAGACATGGGGTTTCACCATGTTGACCAGGCTGGTACTGACCTCAAGTCAGGAGTCCTCCTGCTCTCAACTCCTTGGCCTCTCAAATTGCTGGAATGACAGGCATGAGCCACCACACCAAGCTGTGTGTGTGTGTGTGTGTGTGTGTATGTGTTTAAATCAGCAGTTGAAAATGGATATTTTAGTTTTGACTGTACCTCCAACAGAAGGGTAGATAGACAAAATGACATTTTAAAAAGCTACACTCACTTGAGTAGACCTTCGTGTCTGCCGAGCTTGTCTGGAGCGTGCTTTCCGTAAAGACTCTGCTTCTTCATCCCGTACAGGAGTCAGATAGGACCTGCAGAGAAAGAAAAGTAGCAAAAAAAAAAAAAAAAAAAAAAAAAGATCTTTGATCTTTGCTGCATATACTTGAGGAATGACAAAATGCTTCCACATACTTCTGCTTCCACATACTAAAGAGATTTCTACACTCTAGGAATGAACTAAGCAAAGTCAAAATGACAGAAATGCTATCAACCATCAGTAAACATTATAGAATTCAAGTCATTACAGTAGTCCCCCTTTAACTGTGGTTTTGCTTTCTGTGATTTCAGTAGCCCATGGTAAACTGTGGTCTGAAAATATTAAAGAAAACTCCCACCAATAAACAATTCATAAATTTTCAATTGTGCACTGATCTGAATAATGTGGTCAAATTTCATGCTGTTCTATTCTGTCCCTCCTGAGATGCAAATCATGCACTGTTGTGGTTATCACAGTGCTTATGTTCAAGTAATCTTTATTCTACTTAATAATGGACCCAAAGTGCAAGAATAGTGATGTTGGCATTTTGTTGTAACTGTTCTATTTTATTAGTTATTAATATTATTGTTAGTCTCTTATTGTGCCTAATTTATAAATTAAACTTTAGCATAGATATGTATTTATAAAAAAAACATAGTATTTACATAGGGTTTTGTACTATCTGTAGGTTCAGGCATCCACTGGAAGTCTTGAAATGTATTGCGAGGTGGCTCATGCCTATAATTCTAGCACCTTGGGAGGCCAAGGCAGGCGGATCACCTGAGGTCAGCAGTCCGAGACCAGGCTGACCAACACGGCGAAACCCCATCTCTACTAAAAATACGAAAATTAGCTAGGCATGGTGGCAGGCACCTGTAATCCCAGCTACTCAGGAGGCTGAGATAGGAAAGTCACTTGAACCCTGGAGGCGGAGGTTGCAGTGAGCTGAGATCACGCCACTGCCCTCCAGCCTGGGTGACAAAGTGAAACTCCATCTCAAAAAGAAAAAATGTATCTCCCATGGATAATGGGGGACTATTGTGTTTGTAAATGTGTTGCTGTTCACACAGAATCATGTCATCTGTAAAATGAGAATTTTATTTATTCTTTCCTATTTTTGCTGTTTTATTTATTTTCTTGCCTTAATGCTCTGGCTAGAATCTCCAGGACACACTGAAAAGCAGTGATGATAGTAAGTTTTTATTGTCTGTCATCAAAGAGAATGCTTCCGGTATTTTATCATTAAGCGTAATGTTTGTTGTAAGATTTATGCAGATACCACTCATCAAATTAAAGCAGGTTTCCTGCAGAAAACAGGCTAAAAGGGTTTCTCATTGTTGTTTTTTAATCATTAGTGTGTGATGAACTTTATCACATGCTATTCTTCTCCATATATTGAGATGACCGCTTTTCTCCTTTTTTCTAATTAGTAAGGTGAATTACATTGAATAATTTCTGAATGATAAAACAACATTGAATTCTTGGGACAAACTCAACTTGGTCAAGATGTACCATGTTTTTATATAGATTTTGAAACATATTCATTATTATTTAGTTTAGAATTTCTACCGTGTTCGTGAAAGAAATTGGCTTATAATTTTCCCTTCTTGTAATATGCTGGTCACCTTTGTGAATTAAGGTTATATGAATTGCAAATATTCTCTATATGTCTATTTCTGTAAGAATTTGTGTAAGATTTGGGTTATTTCCTCCTTAAATGATTGGAAGAGTTCACCAATCAAGTCATGTAGGTTTACAGTGTTCTTGGTGGGAAGGTTTTATTTTTTATTTTTGAGACAGAGTCTACTTTGTTGCCCAGGCTGGAGTACAGTGGCACAATCAGCTCACTACAGCCTCAATCTCTTGGACTCAGGCAATGTTCCCACCTCAGCCTTGCAAGTAGCTGGGACTACAGGTGCACGCCATCATACCTGACTAACTTTTTTTGATTTTTAGTAGAGATGAGGTCTTGCTATGTTTGCCTAGGCTGATCTTGAACTCCTGGGGTCAAGCAATCCTCCCACCTTGACTTCCCAGAGTTTTTTATAGGTGTGAGTCACTGTAGCCAACCCTTATGGGAAAGTTTTAAATAAAGGATTCAATTTCTTTTTCTTTTTTTGAGATGGAGTTTCACTCTTATTACCCAGGCTGGAGTGCAATGGTGCGACCTCAGCTCACTGCAACCTCTGCCTCCTGGGTTCAAGCAATTCTCCTGCCTCAGCTTCCCGAGTAGCTGGGACTACAGGCGTGCACCACCACGCCCAGCTAATTTTTGTATTTTTAGTAGAGATGGGGTTTCACCATGTTGACCAGGATGGTCTCGACTTCTTGACCTTGTGATCCACCCGCCTCAGCCTCCCAAAGTGCTGGGATTATAGGTGTGAGCCACCGCGCCTGGCCAGGGTTCAATTTCTTTAATAGAATTAGGCTTATTCCAATTTTGTTTTGGTAATTGTTTAAGGAATTTTTCATTTTGTCTATATTATCACATTTAGTGGCATAAAGTTGTTAAAAATATTCTTAGAATATATTTAATTGTTATTTTAATATCTAGAGCAGTGATTCTCAAATTGTTTTGGTCTTGGGATCCTTTAATATTTTTTAAAATTATTGAGAACCCCAGTGAACTTTTATTTATATGGGGATTAATACTTATCTTAATAAAAATAAAAATTTAAAATTTTTAAAATGTATTAATCCCTTTAAAAATAATGGCAGCCATGAGCAGTGGCTCATGCCTATAATCTCAGCACTCTGAGAGGCCCAGGTGGGAAGACAGCTTGAGCCCAGGAATTTGAGACCAACCCGGGCAACATGGCAAAACCCTGTCTCTGCAAAAGATACAAAAATTAGCCAGGCACAGTGGCACATTCCTATAGTCCCACCTACTTGTGAGACTGAGATGGGAGAATGGGCTTGAGCCTGGGTGGCAGAGGTTATAGTGAGCTGAGATTGTACCACTGCACTTATGTCTGGGCAACGGAGCCAGACCTTGTCTCAAAAATAATAATAATAATAATAATAATAATAATAAAGCCCTATATAAGATGGAGTAATGTCAGCAGGATGGCCAAATTGAGTTATCTAAAGCCCATCTTCTCCACAAAAAGGGACCAAAACAATGAATAAACAACTAAAATGACCAAAGTACTCTGGAGAGCACCAGGGGAGCAGCAAAATCTCTGTGGAGGACAAAAGCCCAGGGCAGCACCATAGAGAGGGGAGCAAGGCATTCTGCTTCTGCCACACTGTCTCCCCTACCAGGATCAGCCTGGAGCCAGGGGAGACTTCTTATGAAGAAAAAGTAAGCTGGAGATCACCAGTAATTCCCCACTGCTACCACAAATGCCAGAAACTTTTGCTACAGGAAGAGTCCCCCAGTCCTCACTGAATACAGTTTGAAGAGTAGTCAAGAGTTCATGAAGTAAAAAGCTCCTAGAGTAGGAGCTCACCTTGAGCGCTCCCTTCCCCCAACCCTCTCAACCTAAGCTGCTGCTACTCAGTGCCATCTTGAAACTGGACCTACTACTAGAGTGTGCCCTTCCTTGTGGTCCAGTAGCCATTGACTTTCTCAATTCCTATAGCCCTGCCATCATTCCACCATGATCCCACAGGTGCCTGTAGCACTACAATCCTAGGTGCCTAAAGCCTAGGCCAGATGGAACAACTGAGATCTCTACACTTGAACCCACGTGGCGCACTATCCTCCCAACCCCAGGAACAGCCAAACCTGCACAAGGGGAAACTGCCTAACTGCTGGCCAGTCCCTTCAAAGGCACACACCTTCACTGCACAGCCAGTTGGCCAGCTGAACCCATGCACACCCACGCCCAGCCCAACAACCAATCCTACAGTGGTTCCACCCTCGACCACTGCAGAACCACCCAACCCTGCTGTGGCCACACACCACTGTGCCCAACAGTCAGTCTAGTGACAGCCCTGCCCCCAAAACAGATCACTGCAGGGTCATGTGGCCCTGCTGTACCCATGCTTGGCCTAATAATTGGTCAAGCAGCAGCCCTGTCCCCCTGGATTTCTCATGAAAAATCTTGTAGGCCGGGAGAGAATAAGATGATATATTCAGAGTTTGGGGGGAAAAAAAACAAATGTGTCAGCCAACAATACTGTATCAAGCAGAACTATCATTCACCAATGAGGGAAAAATAAAGACCTTCCCAGAGAAGCAAAAGCTGAGAAAATACATTGCCACTAGACCAGCCTTACAAGAAACACTTAAGAGAGTGGCATAACTAGAAATAAAAAGATTATAAGTACTTTCATGAAAAGATGTGAAAATACAAAACTCACCAATAGAGGTAAATTCATAAACCAAATTCAAACTAGCCCAGTGATATAATGATGCTATGTGAGTATCTCAGTCCTCTAGTACAAAGGTTTAAAGTCAAATGGTCAAAAACCATGACAGTTATTTAGTAGTAGCTAAGGAACACAATAAGAGTAAATTACAGCATCAAAAGAGAGAAATCTAGAATATTTTAATGCAACCAAAGTTAAGTTGCTATCAGCTTAAAACAACCTATTATAAGACTTGTAATGTTAGCCCCATGGTAGCCACAAAGAAAGAAATTACCACAGAGACACAAACAGGAAAGAGAAAGGAAACAAAGCTCAGCACCACAGAAAACCACCAAACCACAGAATTAAATAAAAGAGCAAGAAAGGAAAAAAGGATCTATAAAACCACCAGAGAAAAAAATAACAAAATGGCAGGAGTAAGACCTTCTCTATCAATAATAACCTTCAATATAAATGGATTAAATTATCCAATTAAAAAATACAGAGTGGCTGAATGGATTAAAGAAGACCCAATTATATACTGTCTACAACAGACTCACCTAACCGTTAAAGACAAACACAGGCTAAAAGTCAAGAAAGGGAAAAAGATATTCCATACAATTGAAAACTAAGTGAGCAGGAGTAACTATGTCAGATAAAAAAAGACTTTAAGTCAAAAACTGTGAAAGAAGGTCATTATACAATGATAAAGGCTTCAATTAAACAAGAGGATATAGAAACTATGAATACATACATGTA